GTTGACAGCTAGATCCTTGTCGAACTGGTTTATTAGTTCTGATAGTTCCCCCTGACCTCCCTGACAAGCTCATGTCATCTGTGAACCGTTTTACTTCTTCCTTTCCAATTCGGATCCATTTTATTCCTTCTCTTGCCTATTTGCCATTGATAGAATTTTGAGTACGATGTTTAACAGCAGGGTCAAGAGCAGACACCCTTGTCTTCTTCCTGACCTAAGGGGGAAGCATGCCACCTTTTACCAGTAAGTATATATTGTATATATACTTTTACCAGTAAGTATATATTGTATATAAAGGCCATACAGATGGCCTTTATCAGATTGAGGAAGTTCAACATCTAACTTGTTCAGCATTTTCATCATGAAAAGTTGTTGAATTTTGTCAACTGCGTCTATTGAAATGATTGTGTGATTTTGTCCTTTATTCTTTTAATATGTCACATGTTAAACCAACCTTGCATTCCTGGGATAAATCCCACTGTGTGATGTGTATAATCCTTTTCATATGTTGCTATATTCGGTTTGCTACATTTTATTGCTGTATTAGCTACATTTGTTGCTGTATTCAGTTTGCTACATTTTATTGCTGTATTTGCTACATTTGCTGCTATATTCGGTTTGCTAACACTTTATTGAGAATTTTTCTATGTAGTCTGTAAGGGATATTTCTCTAGTTTTCTTTTCTTGTGAGATCTTTGTCTGGTTTTGGTAGTAAGATAACCCTGATCTCATAAAATGAGTCAGGAAGTATTCCGTTCTCTTCTATTTTTTGGAAGAGTTTATAAAGTTTTGGTGTTATTCTTGAAACATTTGGTAGATTTCACCGGTGAAGACACATTGGTTCAGGCTTTTCTATGTGCGTAGTTTTTTTTTTTTTTTTTAAACTAATCTAATTGCTTTACTTGTTATAAGTCTGTTCAGATTTTCTATTTCTTCTTGAGTCAGTTTTCAGTAGTTTGTGTCTTTTAGGAATCTGTCCGTTTTATCTAGATTATCTAATGAACTGGCACACAATTTCTCATAATACTCTTATAATTCTTATTTATTTCAGTGAGGCTGGTTAGTGATGTCCCCTCCATCATTCCTGATTTTAATAATTTGAGTTTTCTTTCTTTTTCTCTTGTTCAACACAGCTTAAGATTTGTTAGTTTATTGATCTTTTCAAAGGACCGAATTTCGGTTTCATTGATTTTTCTCTACTGCTTTTCTATTCTCTGTTTCATTTATTTCTGCTCTAACCTTTATGATGTTCTTCCTTCTGCTTGCTTTGTGTTTAACTTCTTTTTCTGGTTTCCTAAGATGGAATATTAGATTACTGATTTGCAATCTTTCTTCTTTTTTAATATAAGTGTTTATAGCTACAAATTTTAATGCTGGTTTAGATGCATCCAATAAGTTTTGGTGTGTTGTGTTCTCATTTTCATTCATCTTGAAGTATTTTCTAAAATTTAATTTGAATGATATATTTTATTTAACCCAATGTGTACAAAATAGTTTAATTCTAATAGGTTATGGATATAAAAATATTATTGAAATATTTTCCATTCTTTCATATTAAGTCTCTGAAGTCCAATGTGTAGTTTACATTTATAGTACACCTCAATTCAGACACAAAATTTTCAGCAGAAATATTTTAGATGTATTTAGGTTTCATGAAATGTATACAGTAGTCACCTTTTGTCTACGGGGGACACGTCCCAAGACCTGCAGCAGATGCCTGAAACCAAGGACAGTACCTAAACCTATATGTATTGTTTTTCCGGTCCATATACACCAGTAATAAAGTTTAATTTATACATTAGGCGCAGTGAGAGATGAACAAAAATAACTAATAATAAAAAAGAACAACTGTGACAATATTCTGCGATAACAGGTGGATGTTTGCTCGCTTATGCCCTCGCTCTGATGGCCCATGTGATGACGCAGACGACTACTGAGTGACTCGTGGGCGGATGGCGCAGAGTTCGCCACGCTACGCAGAGCGGCATGCGATTTAAAACCTAGCGATGGTTTCCTTCTGGATTTCCCATTTACTATTTTCGGACCGTGGTTGAACATGGATAACAAAAATGCAGAAAATGAAACCACAGATAAGGGGGACTACTATAGCCAAAGAGTGAATTTACACATTGAGATGGTTCCAAACATACTTAAAAGTTTTCCGATACCTGAATCAAGCATCCACTTTTAAATTTAAGTTAATTGAAATTAATAAAATTTAAAACTCAGTCCCACGCATTGTGCTGTGTTGGACAGAGCAGCTCTGGAACTCTGTCTCCGTATTGAAATTCACACAACCTCCCTAAGAGCTATTATTATCTCCCATTTTGCAATTGATGAGCTTATGCAAGATCAATTAATGAGATCCAGGAACTTATGCAAGATCTCATGGCTAGGACAAGCCCTGCTTTTGGCTGGGAAATGGGCCATGGCAACGACGGCCTCCTCTTGCAGAGTCATGGGGGTTGCCCACAAGGCTATCCTTGACCCAGAACCACAGAGCGGGATCCTGAGCCTCCCCTGCCTGCCCGCCCCATAAGCAGCTGATCCAGAAGCCCTGGAATGAGCCGTAGAGAGCAGGGAAAGCTAGAGGCCAATTCTCCCCATCTCCACCACTTTCCTGAGCACCCCAACCCTACAGTCAGCTGTCAATCAAGAAGGATGATCAGAAGGAGCAATGCGCACAGGCAGAGGTCCAGCCAACCTGCTTCCCGTCTTCTGCAGGGGCCACTGAAAGTTCTAAAAGGGACAGTAGAGAAACACCCTCCTATTGCGCCAGCAGACTGGAAAAACCACAGACGCCAATGCCGTGCAAGTGAAAACTACCGTGCGATGCCACCTCACATTGGACAGAATGGCTGCTCTCAAAAACAGGAGACCACAAGTGCTGGCGAGGATGTGGAGAACAGGGAGCCTCGTGCACTGCTGGTGGGAACGCCAACTGGCGCCACCACCATGGAAAACAGGATGGAGGCTCCTCAAAAAGTTAAAAATAAGCTGCCATGTGACCCAGAAGTCCCACTGCTAGGTCTGTAACTGAAGGAAACCAAGTCACTACTTCACAGAGAGATCTGCACCCCCGTGTGCAGTGCGGCATTATGTATAATAGTCAAGACATGGAAACCACCTAAATGTCCAGCAGCAGATGAATGGATAAAGAAGACATGACATATACACGCATGCATACATGCATACATACATACATACACATAACACACACACGCACACACAACAGACACACATACATATACACAACAGACACACATATACACGCATACATACAACGGATACACACACACATACAATGGAATGTTATTCAGCCATGAAAAGGAAATCCTGCCATTCGTGACAGCATGGGTAGACCTTTAGGGCATTGTGCTAAGTGAAATAAGTCAGACAGAGAAAGATACATCCCGTATGCTCTCATTTCTATGTGGAATCTAAGAAACAGAACATATAAAAACAGCGAATAGATTGGTGGCTGCGAACTTCTAGTTATAAGATAAAAAAAAGTCCTAGGGATGTAATGCACAGTCAAATCCTGTGTTGAACATCTGAATGTTGCTAACAGAGGGAATCTTAAAAGTTCTCATCACAATTAAAAAAACTGTAAATATGTAAGGTGATGGCTGCTAACTAAACATTGAGATAATCATTTTACAATATATTCATATGTCAATTATTATCTTGTACACCTTAAACATAATACAATATATGTCAATTTTATCTCATAAAACGGGAAAAATTTTTAACACAAAACAGACGAATCTTTACTAGACTTAAAATAAAATTAGAAATAAAATTAGAGGACTCAAATAAAATTAGAAAAATAGAGGAAATGTTACAACTGATACCACACATATAAAAAATCAGAAGAGACTACTATGAATTATATGCCAACAAATTGGAAAACTTAGAAGAAATGCATAGTCGTAAAAACATACAACCTACCAAGACTGAATCATGAAGAAACAGAATATCTGAACAGACCCATTACTAGCAAGGAGATTGAATCGGTCATCAAAAATCTCCCAGCAAACAAAAGTCCAGAACCAGACGGCTTCACTGGTGAATTCTACCAAACATTTAATAAAAAATTAATACCAATCCTTCTCAAACTCTTCCAAAAAATAGAAAAAGAAGAAACACTTCCAAACTCATTTTATGTGGCTGCCACTACCCTGAGACCAAAACCAGACAAAGACACTACAAGAAAAAAAATTGCAGACCAATATCCCTGACGAACACTGGTGTAAGAATCCTCAACGAAATATTAGTAAACTGACTTCAACAATATTAGTAAACCGACTTCAACAATGCGTTAAAGGATCATGCACTGTGACCATTCCGGGGAAGCAAAGATGGTTCGACATATGTAAATCAATCAACGTGACACACCAAATTAACAAAATAAAGGATGAAATCATGTGATCTTCTCAACAGATGCAGAAAAAGCCTTAACGAAATCCAACATCCATTTCATGACGATGCGGATAGAGGGAACATACCTTAACATAATAAAGGCCCTACGTAACATGCCACAGATAACACACCCAATGGTGTAAAGCTGGAAGCTCTTTCTCTGAGATCAGGAACAAGGCAAGGATGCCCACCACCATTTCTATTCGACATAGTATTGGAAGTCCCAGCCAGAGCAATCAGGCAAAAAAAGAAAAAGAAAAAAAAAAAAAAAGAGGCATCCAAAGAGAAAAGGAAGAAGTAAAACTATTTGCAGATGACATATTATACATAGAAAACTCTAAAAACGCCACCAAAAACTGTTAGACCTTAAAAATAAATTCAGTAAATTTTTAGGATACAAAAGCAATATACCAAAATCAGCTGTACAATCCCTCTACTGGGTATTTACCCCAAAGACTTGAAAACTCATATCCGAAAAGATATTTGCACACTGATGTTCATAGCAGCATTATCCACAGTGGCCCAGACATGGAAGCAACCGAAGTGCCCTACGATAGATGGCTGGCTAAAGAAGCTGTGGTGCATATGTACAATGGAACATGACTCAGCCAAAAGAAAAGATGAAATACTGCCATTTGCGACAATATGGATGGGCCTCGAGATAAACATGCTAAGCGAAATAAGCCAGACTGAAAAAGTTGAAAATCACATGATATCACTTATATGTGGGATATAAACCTAAAAGCGACAAATGAACAAGACAAACGAACAGAGACTCATGGACATGGACTATAGACTAGTGGTTACCAGAGGGTAGGGGGTGGGGGAGGAAGGAGTAGGTAGATGGTTAAAGGGGGTCAAATACAGGAGGGTAGGTTGGTAAAGGGCATCAAATATATGGTAGCTGAAGGCAACTGGACTTTGGGTGGTAAACACACATTAGAATATACAAATGTCAAATTGTAATGTATACCTGAAAATTACATAATTGTAACTTATGTAATTACCCCAATAAACTTACAAAGGAAAAAATAAGCTGTATTTCTATACACTAACAAGAAAACTATCACAAAGAGAAATTAGGAAAACAATCCCATTTATAATTGTGTCAAAAAGCATAAAGTACTTAGGATAAATTTAACCAAGTTAGTAAAAGATCTGTGCACTAAAAACTGTAAGACATGGATGAAAGAAATTGAAGAAGACAGAAATAAATGGAAAGATTTTTCATGCGCATGGGTTGGAAGACTTAATCTTGTTAAATTGTCCATACTACCTAAAGCAATCTACAGATTTAATGTAATCCCTATCAAAATTCCAATGGCATTTTTCACCGAAATAAAACAAACAATTCTAAAATGTATATGGAACCACCAAAGACCACAAATAGCCAAAGCATTCTTGAGAAAGAACAAAGCTGGAGGCACGCACACCCTGATTTCAAACCGTATTACAAAGCTGTGGTAATCAAAACAGTACGGTATTGACGTAAAAGCAAACACGCAGACTGGTGCAATGGAAAAGAGAGCCAAGAAACCATTAAAAAAAAAAACTGCCATGTATCACGTGCTTACTTTTTGTCAAGAAGAAAGTGGACTGCATTCATTCAATGGAGTATCACGCAGTCCTTAAATGAGAGAAGATGTCTACAATGTACTGTTTACAACGAAAAGGTAAGATAACAGATGAGACGCATAGTCTGACTCCCTCTGTGTGTTCATGTGCCTTGTCAAACAGCCAGTGCAGAAGACCCCCCGGCACAGAGACTTGCGGCATGGGGGGGGCTGGGGTCTGCACTGCCTATTTTAAGCATTTGTATGTTGTCTATATTTGTAACCACAAGCATATGTTTCTACTTATATTTTTTAAAAACTAATCTTTAAGAAGAAAAACATTGTACCATTTGATTTTCAAATAACACTTAAAGAGGTACAGGATCCACATTTCACGAATGGAGGAACTGAGGCTCAGAAAGGCGACGTGACTGCCCGAACCACAAGGTGGCAGAGAGCCAGGAATGCGGGCCAGGGCTGTCTGCCGAGCGACTGAGCTCTCGAAGACAGGAGGGCAGCAGGGACTCAGACACCTGGGGCCCACCCGCCGCCTGCCCCGGTGGGGCCCGACCCGGAGCGGGAAGCCTGGCTGCCCCCGCGGGGCCTGACCTTGAGGTCCAGGTGCAGGATGTAGTGCTGATGAAGGTAGTGCACACCCTCGCAGATCTGCTTGGTGAACAGGACCACATCCAGTTCGGTCAGGTGGTACTTCTCATCTGTGATCCTGTCGAAGAGCTCGCCCCCATCCACGCTGCCAAAGCAAAGGGCAGGCCGGGCCTCTCAGCTCCGGGAGCCAAAAACAGGTCAATCCAGGTGAGCCTGCTGTCATCTGGGGTTTTACGGGGACCTGTGCTCTGGCCCATTCCCAGCCCAGAGTGCCGTTGGCAAACGGGAAGTGACGGGCCGAAGGGGAGACCGGGATTGTCATCTGTGTTGATAATCTAGGCTCACCCTGGGTGCCCCGGGCCGAGGCTGTAAACTCATTTTCCTGCATGGAAATGTTGGTACCTACATGGCAAGAACCCCAGGTGGGCAAAATCAACCCATTTCCAGCTGGATAGATCTTTTACATCTGTGAGAAAAGCCAGATAGCTGGGTTTTAATGTGAAATTTCCCAATTTCCAGCTACCAACAGCCAAATGAAAATTACTAAAAATTGTTTAGGCCAAACTGACATACATCTATCTGCAGGTCAAATTAGGCTCACCGGCCGCCAGTGTGTGACAAATGGCTTTGTCCTCCGTGCCCCATGCTGGAGGTCGAGCGGAGGGGTGGTGACATTCCCTGGATGTCCCAGCGAGGGGAAGGGAGGGAAGGGAAGCCGCCACCCGCCTCCCAGACACTCACTACTCCAGGACCAGGGTGAAGCTGCTCCTGCCCTCGAAGGCGTCGTACAGCTGGATCAGGTTCGCGTGGCTCAGCTGGTTCATGATGTTGATCTCGTTCATCACGTCCTCCTTCCAGGGCCAGAGCGGAGACAAGTTTCCAAGGAACGGGTCAGGAAGAAGCGCCAGCCGTGCCTCCCAAGACACACACACGTGTGCATGTGCACGTGCCCGCCTCACGCCCATTCCCTGCTCACGCCGGGTCTCCTCAACCCACCATCCAGACCAGAGAGGACCCGCCCATTTCACAGGAGAGAAGCCGGAGGCCCAAGAGGGCCCTGTGGCCCAGGGTACGAGTGACCTGCTTACTAGGGTGTGGGAGTCTGGAAGAGAGGCGGGAAAAGTGGCCGGGTCTCCTGCCCAGCCTGGGGGTGCTGGGGCAGGGTGGGGCCCCGGGGGGGCGAGAAAGACACGCAGGAGCCCTGAGCTCAGCCAGGGGCTTCGGGGGCCCGGGGCAGACGCCTCACCCGGTCCTTGGTGCTCTTCACTTTGACGACCTTGGCTGCCAGCGAGAGGCCTGTGGCCTTCTCCGTGCACCTGTGGACCTGACCAAACCGGCCCCTGCAGACACGACGACACAGCAGGCTGAGAGCCCACGAGGCTCGCCCCAATGTGGCTGGCCAGCCTGTCCCCTGGGTTTTCTGGTCCCAGCCCTCCTCCTTACGCACCAGAGTCCCTACGCCTTCACCCTACTCCACGCAGGCCACCTAACACCTAGAGGAAACCCGCTTCACCCCACGCCGTGTGGGCTATCCCGCACCCCAGTGGACATCCCACACCGCATGCTACCTGGCGCACTTCACCCCAGAGGACGTCCTCACCCCGCTACGTCGGCCCCTGCCACCTCCAGTACACGGTCTCACCTCCATGCCGCGTGGGCCCTCCTCTCCCGCCCCTCACCAGAGCAGAAAGCCCACCTACCCTCCCAAGACTTCGTGCTGGCACATGGTGTAGCCCGCTGAGGCCGATGTCTCCTTGACACTCACCACCCGGTGCTCAAAAGGGGCTGGGGGCGCCGGGCTGTCATCTGTTCAGGAGACAGAGCCCCTGAGCCTCCGATGTGCAGCCCCCGCCTCAGCCAACCACCCCAGACCCTCCTGGTTCAAGTGACAAGCCCTTTGCCCTTCTCAAAGATCATCTCGTTCGAGTCACCCATAGCAGAGGAGAAAGCTGAGTCCCAGAGAGGTGAGGTGACTGGGTCACCTCAGGTCCAAGGTCACACAGTGAGTCAGTGACAGATGGGATCCTGAGCTGGGTCTCCCGGAACCTACGACAGGGCTCACTGCAAGATGGAGAGGTCACGTCCAATCTGTTCACTGAAGTCAAGAAGGGGCCGGTGGCAATGGCGGGGGTGGGGAGGGCGGTCAGCGCGGCCGCGGGAAGTGGAAGGCACATGGCACAGGGTGATGGAGCAGGGCGTGAGGACAGCCTATTTCAAGGGTACAGGCCGGGCTGCGGAGCCAGCAGGGGTGGCGTGCCAGGGAGGCAGCTGGAGAAACAAACACCCACCCGCCTCTCCTCTCGCCCTTGGGTGTCCGGACAGGGCACGGAGCCTGCGATGCAGCCCCTGGCGGGGGTGGGCAGCGACCGGAATGGAGGAGAAACGGAGGACACCAGCACTTGAAGAGATAAAAATGGTTTGGGTTTGTTTTTTTTTTTTAATAAAAACAAAAAACAAACCTCGTCCTACAGAGATGATGGGAACCCAGAAATGTTACATGAAATGGAGCAGAGGGATAAAACAGAATCCAGACCATGCACCAAACATGACGACATGAGCCGGCGTGTGCAGTCGGGCCAGGGGACGCCCTGCGGGAAGTCCGTGGCTCGGGCTG